GAATATATACTATAGGCAGACTGGGCTTCGCTGGGCTGGAGCTGAGCTGGCTAACGGGGAACTAGAACTTGATCAACGTCAATCGGCTTATCATAACTGGAACGTTAATCAGGTTAATCGGCCATCTTTATCAAAACTGGAAACTTTTACCTTCGGGTAGAGACAGCCACAAGGGACTGTCTAAAAAGAGACTTGTATTCGCCCTCCGCGCCGCGCCCGCACTCCCCGCTCCTCGGCGCCGTCCTCGTAGAGATCCAAAGAGGTAGACGCCCGACAAAGACTGGAGAAGGGAAGGCGTCTGGACAACTCTGGAGAATGATTTCCGCGGACGGGCCGAGTAATTGCCCCATTCCATTCGCCGCACGCACCGCGGCGGGCGGGGCGGAGCGCGCCGAGAATAGACCCGCCTGAAAATAATGTTTGGGGAAGGTTTTGCGATCGTTATCGGCGCACTGCGTGAGCTGCTTCCGCCGGGCCGGCCGCGACACGGGCGGGGCGGCGGGGCGCACCACCACCATCACAACTCGCTGGCGCCGCCGAGCTCGCATCGGATCGCTGCAGGCGGCTGCTACGGTCTCCCCAACCCAAGGCCGACGCACAGGAAGCACACGCGGCACCCCACGCGTTATCAGCGAAGAAGATGCAGTGAGATGATGATGAGTCCGCTTCCGGGCGGCGGCCACCGCGTGCCGCAGCAGCGCGCAGCACGGAGTGACCACGGGCGTGTCAAATCGCGTGCCCGGCGCGCGCGCGCCTCTGTGTGTGTGTGTGTGTGTGTGTGTGTGTGTGTGTGTGTGTGTGTGTGTGCGTGCGTGCGCGCGTGTGTGTGTGTGATCCCGCGGCGCCGCTGGTCAGCCTGCGGGGCGTGCCTCCCGAGGCGTGCGATGGCCGTGCCTGACCACGCGCACGGGGTGCTTGAACCTCTCGAGGGTGCATTACTCCGAGGAGGAGGTCCTGGGCCCGCCGTGCTCGCCCGCCAGACAACAAGTGCGGCCCTCTCTGCAGCTGGCTGAGAAGAGGCCCGACGACGACATGGCCATCGATGGTGATGTTGTGTTTCTTTGGTGCATTATTGGCGGTGCTGCGCTCGGTCAGAGTCAGCACTAAACAAGAAGCTATATGAGCACAGTCACTTCTCCATTGAAAAGTGCCGCGCTCCCATTTGGTTTTGAAAAGAGTTCTCGAGTATATATTCAGGACCACATCTCAGGTGGTGATTCTAGATGCACGTGGCCCTGTCTCACTCACTGCTGGGGGAGAGGGAATGCCCACGGGGGCACCTCGGAGTCACGTAGGCGACCAAGTCGGTCCGGCTCCAGGCAACACTCGTGCTCCGTCACCGTGGGATTCTGCCGTGGATGATTTGCCACCGGGACGGGACGTGTCGCACCGCACCATATGCACTCTTCGTAAGGAAGGAGCGGCAGAGTTGGCAAGTACCTACACCACTCATGGTGTCTGACGGGTGGTAACCGTTTGTCCAGAACGGGAGAAGTAAGAAGAAAGATAGAAAGTGCTTCATGAACTCTATAAATAGATTGGCCGGACGCTATGTTCGTGAAGAAGCTTCTTCCTTTCATCTTACTTCAGTCGTTCTGGACAAAACGGTTTGAAAATCGTCGCATTTCTTTCGTTAAAATGAAAGTGCGGGACTCGTATTGAAATTAATTGTGAACACCCTCAGATATGTTGATTAAACCACGATAAACAATAAACACAGATAAAATACATGACGCTCGTGCCCTCCTCGTGCTACATCATGAGGACGTGCAGGTTCGAAAATTCGCGCCTCCCCAGACTCGCGATGAGCTTCGAGACACAGCCGTTCGCAGCAGCACTGTCCCTGCGACGTCAAGGTATTTCGTCAGTTTGACAGCTCTTTCGTGAACATTTTATTAGCTGTTTATCGTTTGGGGAGCTTCATTTTCAATTACTCGCCGTGTGCTTTTCGTTGTTTCGTTCCTTACGAGTACTTTACAGCTTAGAATATGGAACAAAAACATTGAGAAATGAAGACATTCCACGTCATGACTCACCAACCTTATGATATGAAATATTTTAACTCTGTCACGCCAAATTACATTGAATTGAAAATCAAACGTTTACGTTACCTTGTGAACACTTTCAAAATATATGTACTGTTTTCGTTGAATGTTTTTAAGGGTTTTCATTGCAATAAAAGAAACAAAAGCAAGTTACAGAAGTTGGTCAATGTGACACTCTCGACTAGAGAAAGATATATCGAACGCGATACTCCGTTACCATTTTGGGATTTGGGCTAGCAGTCAGCTATCACCTTTATCACCATCTCAAAGTTTGTAATGTTTGCAACAATCTTTTACGCCTAGAAAAGGATTAACGTTAGCGATGGCTGAGGCAGTTGTTGAGGACCCACATCGATTTTTCTGCCACAAATGCAGTCTTGAAATTGCTAGTGTTTTACCGGTAAGAAAACTTGTATTATCAGGTCTATTTATACACAAGCCTCTACCTTAAATTGGACTCCTATTTACTCCCTGAATATTTTGTATCAAATACAGTGTGTTGTGTAAAATATTTTCATCTTATTTTTGCTGATTAAAGAGACAATTTTTCCGCTTATCTCAAAGTTGTTGGTCATATCATGTGATAGGCTCCTCCCTTTGTGAGGAGTAGCCTTGATAACCCTTAAAGTGTCTCAGTGCTATTCTTATTTTCATTAGAAATATATCTTCAAATTTTTAAGTACATTCAGTTTTTAACTACACAAAAATTTAAGAAAAAATATCTGACAACATATTTTCTTTGAGTAATGTTATGCCCATATTCTGTAGGTTATGTCAGACTTAATTTTCCACATTCGTGCAAAATAGTTGTCAGCCTGAAATTTTCTTTTAAAACTTCAATGTTACTCTAACTAACTCTTCTTTTTATTTTTTTTTTACAGGATTACACATGCCCACGATGTTGTTCAGGATTTATAGAAGCATTAGATGGATCATCTCCGGCTGTTGATCAAGGAGATGAAAGTGAAGAGGATATAGATGTAATGCAACCATGGGAGGTTAGATGGGGAAAACAATATTTTCGTAATTGCTGTTTTACTCTGCAACATTCACATGTTACTTCTTAATCCTCCCATGAATTGTCTTTATAGATCCTTAATGATGTTTTCCTGATGGGTATGAACGGAGACCCACTAGTTGACAATCGGAGGACCACAAGAGGGCGTCGGGGCAGAGAGGGTGAACGGCGCCCGGGAAGGTAGAGTATTAATTAAGTAGCTGTTTGCTCAGGGTGATAATTCATGTACCAGCATTATTACTTATGATTGAAATACCTGTATTTCAGAAATAACAGATCCCGACATACCTTTGAAAATCTAATGCATCTATTTGTGATGAATTTAAATGGTGATTTGGGTGCCCATGCTCATAGTAATTTAGCAGCGGGGCGTGCTGGTGGGTTTGGGCCTGAGTAAGTTATTCAATAATTCTTTTAGTACATTGATCCTACTTTTAAGTTTAGCATGTATCTAGAAGTTAAATTTAATGCTTTCAGAATGTTTGTTGGTAACCCTGGGGACTATGCTTGGGGCCGAGAAGGCTTTGATGCCATTGTTACACAATTGCTTAATCAGATTGAATCAACTGGACCTCCACCTCTGACCAAGGAGAAAATTTCAGAAATACCTGTTGTCACTATTTCTCAGGAGCAAGTTGGTAAGTAACATGTTTTAGCTAGTTACATTCTGTGTAATTAAAATGACTTTCAGCTCTTACCCCAACAGTCAAATGTAATTGGAAGGTAAATTAATTTTTAAATCCTTATCTTTAATTTACAGATAAATCTCTTCAATGCTCAGTTTGTTGGGAGAATTTCAAAGTAGATGAGCCTGTGCGTCAGCTGGTGTGCACCCATGTTTACCATGAAGGTTGTATCATCCCATGGCTAGAATTGGTAAGAGGAGTAGAGAAATTTGCCTTATTGTAAAACCTTACCAAAATTATAATTGTACAATTTTAAAATTCTGCTCTCTTTCAGCATGGCACATGTCCAGTTTGCCGAAAGCCCTTGAGCTCGGAAGCAGAACAGTCTTCAACAGATGATGGTGGGCGAAGAGATCCACTAAGAAATCTTGCAGCACAACTCAATCCTTTAGAGGCAGCTGCATCACAAAGCCGAGTCAACCAGATGCGTCAAATTAATCGACAAATGGAGGAACTAAGGTCCAGGTAAAGCTAAGAACTTAAAAATCTTTATCCCTTTCTGCACTGAAAATTCTTTATTATAATATATTCCCTTCTTTAGGTATGGTATAAGGTTAGGCACTCTTTCAAGTGGAAGTGGACTCACTTCTTCAGCAATGCAGACTGATCCCGCAGCTGCCAGTACAAGTTCATCCAGTGAGACCTCCTCGGCCGATACCAGCAGTCCGAGTACAGGAAGTAGCAGTAGCAATAGCAATGGTGGTCTTCAAGACATGGATGTGGATTAGGTTAATTTATGTAAATTTGTAACACCATTGTGTCCCTCACAGATTGTAACTTACTGTGTGTGGTTGTTTCAACTCTGTTTTCTTCTGCACTCTGCTGACTTTCATTTGGCATTTTCAGATGGTAAATTATAGAAAGGGCTGTCCTGTTGCATCCTCTTTCTTGTTGATAAAGGGAAATAAATAACATTAGGTTCTCTTTACTCTGCTGGTCAGATTACAGTTTTGGTTTAAATATCCTCTCTAAACTCAACCTTCAGTTTCTAGGAATATTAAATTCTACCCTGTCTTAGTGTTGTACTAAATTATTATTTACAAGAGAGAAAAGATACAAATGATTGATGAATGACATCTATTCAGGATAAATGTTATTTCTTTTCTTTTTTCTTCTTTTCTTACTGAACCTTGCAGGAGTATACTTTATGGATAAAATGAAAATGGGGAACTGAGGGAAGTATGATTTGTCCCATATGCAAAACAGTCTTCTGTAAAAGCGTTTCTGTTGTAAGCACATGATAATTTGGAAATTTTCCTTAAGTGCAGTTTCATTGCGCAGTAAAGGGTATTTACATTGTGACTTCTGTCTGTGTTTTATTTATTTTGTGATAAATTGACATTGCAATTTCAAATATTGATAGCTTGTCTGACAAAGTTATCAAAAATCACCTATTGGTCACAACTTGTGTTAAGACAGTTATGTCTTTCATAGCACTACTTCATATTTTTGTGTTGTCACAATAATTTGCTTATAAGAAGCTATGAAAAACATATTTAAGAGGGTTAAAATTTGCCAGATGGTGGCCGGTTATATCTCAAAACCCCTGTTCTGATAAAAATTTTACATTTATTGTATGCTTTTGAATTTGGCGGGAAAGCTTGCGAGTTCTATGTATAGGTATGTATTTCCATTCCATTTGAAACTCCCTTTGCTGCATTCTGTTATTTATTGCCTTACTACCACGGCTATCACAGGGGTTAGTATATTGTAATTTTTTTGCCACTATTTTGTGGCCTAGCAATATTCTTTTATGAGGTGCTGTTAACTGTCTTTGGAGGAAAATACTGATCACTGGTATTCATTTTCAAGTACCATTTAGGAATGGATGGTGTTGGATAAACTAAAGAAATTTTCATGCTGCATAACACATTTTTAATCATTGTATCCTATTATTACTGGGTGATAAAATTATTGCAATATACTTTTAGAAAGTACTGCAGACTGAGATGATTTGTAGGATTGTAAGTACAAACAATTGGTTTGTGATATGCATGAGGACCTGAATATAAAAGCTAGAAAGTAATTGTAATATTTGCTAATAGCTATAGGTATCCTGTGTTTTATCACATCTGTATTGTTTTATTGTTTTTCCTTCTTTTGTTTTTGTTTGACACCACCTCATAACAAATGCCGGTACGTGTGGAGTCCCTAACAATCACTTTAAAAAACCTATTGCGAGTGAGTGGTAGGTTGTTCAATGTTCCTGATAGGCATTTTTAGTCCTAGGAGATAATTTCATTGCAGCAGCATTTATTCAATGCAGGTTCTGTTAACTTTTTTTTCTAAAATATGAAACGCATTCTGAATTTTAAGGGTGATTTTAAGTTGTGATTAAAACTGTCTGCTAACAAAGTGCTTTACTCTATTTTGTGTTTTACAACTTTTCATCTTGTCATTGGTTAAATTATCAGTTCACTTTCAAAATTTATTTATTAGAAAATCTTTATTTCAGGAACTTCTTCAAACCGTGTAGGGGCTGTTGAGGCGCAGCATGGAGTATTCGCGCTCGTGGATTCCTCTGGGCACATGGGGTATTTTCACTGCACGAAACTGCAAGGTGAGTATCCTACTAGGGGCGGACCAACATGTGTGCCATTGTCATCGCAGACTCAAATCGTGGTTTTCTCTCATTCCTGGTTATCGTGGGCGTGCCCACGACATCTACCTAACCACCACCACATCGTCGCTAGCAGCTTCAAAGGGGTTGATCTGCCTCTAGAGTCTCTGGGGTCGTAGGGTATCGCTGCCGAGTGCGCTGCGGGAGGCTGGTGGACGACCACCCCTACTTTATCCAAGACCTGGCGCATCGAATTACTGAGAAAAGATGAAAAGTGGAGTCAGAGCAGGAGCTCTTCTTTGCCGTCATCCTCTTCATCATTCATTTCCTCCGGGGCCTTAAGGGGGTGGGGGGGAGCTGCTCCAGCCACCGGCCGCACCACCGCAGCCCAGGCGCAGCCCGAAGTAAAAGCCAAAGCAAAGCAGGTCTGGTGACGGATGGACCGCAAGACAATAAGCATCGCGGCCATTGTTTCCCTCATTTTCCTATCCCCTTTCTCTCGGGCCGCGGGTCCGGCAGGGCCGCCTGGGCCGAGCAGGGCCTCCCTCTCACCCCGGTGTGGTCTGTATACCGGATTGGTCGCTGTGCAGCTCCGGGCTCTCTCATCAGACTATTCGGTTTTCTTCTCTCGGTGGGGCCTTTTGTGGCGGGACGGAGAGGAGCGGCGCTGCCTCCCGCGATTGTGGCGCCGCGCCACATCCCGATGCCCGGCCGGCCCGTCATATCCCCGGACACAAATGACCGAAACATGACCAACCAGCCACACGAAGCCGCCCGGTGTAGGCCGGCCTTGTGGGCGTTTTCAAATGGGGAAGTAGATCTTAAAAAAGTACTACAACACGCAAAAAACCGCATGTCTGTGGCACACATAGTTCTATGGCAATATTGGAACGAAATTAACATCACCAGCATAGGGCGGCGTAGAGGCGAAATTGTCTCCCGGAAGACCGAAGACATTTTGCGTCACGTTATGACATCATTTTGACGTCATAGCGCCCGCTGCCACCCCTTCCCTCCCCTCTGATGCGCGGGGTCGCGTCGCCACCCCTGCTCCCTCGTTAGGCGCGAGTAGTATAACGGGCCCACGGTCACAGGTTGCCTACCCTGCCCCTGCCAGGGGCACACCACGGCCGGCGGTTACAGGTTACCGGATGTCTCGGTCACCCGATCCCTTCTTATCAGTTGCATACCGC